AAAATCTTTCTGTTCTGCCCTATAATAGGTCTACGTTTAACTTGCCAGAACTGTATTCTTTTCTGCTTTGCTTGGTTAGATTTCACTTTTTGAAAAGCCTCTGTTTATTTCTAGTCACTTCCATCACTGTTCAGTTGTGTTGGACGATTCATATTCATTTGGGTTATAATCAGAAAGCAAAGTCCCCGTGTCACTTTTAATATTTATTTGGATCATATGTTCATAATTCTTTTTTAAACAATACTGTACTTAATTGTTATTTATTTAACCCTACAAGTATGCGAAATTTGAGTATGATGCATATCAATACTGAATGGCTCTTCTATAGTCACTTTGTGTGTGCTAATCTAGGCTAAATCCAGGGCTATCTCCACTCTTCTGAATTCTCTACCTGCTTTGCTCAAAATGTAGTTCTTGATGATACCTAAAAATACAGCCTGTGCATGATGGCCTAATGTGGCCTAATGTTAAGTTTATCCAGTCTATATATAGATAACCAAGAACTCTCGTTATGATCAAGCTTTCAGGTTGTATAGCCTCTCCAGTCCCCAACAGCATTTTGTAGTCACTGTCTCCATTCCATCAACTACTGCAGAGCTCTTACTAGGCTTTTCCTATTCAGATAAAGAATCATTTGTAATTATGTTTTGTGGTTTATTCTGATAAAATTAACTTATTTGACTATATTGTCTTTGGTGCATACACTGCCATTTGTCTGCATAGTCCAATCTACGATCTCTGTATCAGCTAGGCACTAAGCATTCTATCATCTCTGTACAATTTATACACTCACATTTCAGCACCCCTTTGAAAAAAGGGATACATGCAGACCAACTGCCAAAAAGAGGGTGACATACCTGGGGCATTCCTTATGGAATTCATGCTTACCACTCTTCTGAAGAATCATTAACTTCAAGGCACAATGGAAACAGAGCACTATAAGACAGCAATGTGCCAAGACACCAAATTAGAACTAGTGTAGGTTCCTTCTCAACAGAGATCAGACAGCATTTGACCAATGGTATAGCTGGAACAACTGCTTGTGGTTATTCAAGATCTCTGTACCAAGAGATGCTGTGTCAGGAAGGGAATGCACTAAGGACCAGAAGGATGCTATGGAAGTATAAGGAGACCTTTAACCTTTTGCAGACACTTCAGAACTTTGTTAATATTTGCATTTAGTTCCTTCTGTTAGAAGGAAAGAGTCTGCTCTGACTGCTGTGGAGAAGGGAGGGATGTTTCAGGACACAATGCCAGCAGCTATTGACTTGGGTTTGACAGTTCAGAAGGCAACTCACTTCTTCCTTCCTATTTGTGAGGCCTCTAGCTGGAGCACCTTCTTTCTGAATTAAATATGATGTGACATTAGGCACAGCAGAATCCAACAGCTACACTGCAGTAGTCCAGTGTGTATTTATTATCATTTATTTGTATTACCATAAATCTTTGGAGAACTCACCCTGACCCACTTCTCATTATGCTGGGCCATGAGTAAATACACAACAAAAAGTAGATGTGCTTGAATTCTAGAGACAACATAGAACTTATGGCGGAATAAAAATGCAGTGACACAGTACTACTGTGATAAACACTGGCATTAATATACCTGCAATATAACTGCTATCTAGGTAGACCGTTTCAAGCTTCATCGTACATAAACTTATAAGAAAATAGTTAAAGGAAGATAGTGAACAGTTCTGTTTATGAAGAAGCCAACCAATATGAGAGGCAGCCGAGGAAATAATATCCAATGTGGTTTAATTATTTAATGACTGAATGATGAAAGCTGGTATCATATGTTGATCAAAACTAGAGTCAACCTCTTGATACTGAAGGAGAAGTATCAGGTAGAAGTAGTCTTGATGGGCCTTAAAAATAAAGACAGATAGCTTATCTTTATTTCTTTAAACTGAAGGAGGAAATTGAAAATACCAAAGAAGTCTGGAAACTGATATTTACAGTAGAGTAGCACTTTGACTAGATAATGAGCATGGCAAGACTGCATTTTTCAAGGCAAAAGAAAAAGATTTTCTAATAAAGACATGATCCATCGACAACCTAGATGGAAAACGTAGGTGCCTGACAGAGAAGAAAGACTTAAAGGACTGGAGTAAGATTCCCAAAACTCAGATATAACCTAGGTTTGATGACAGCGTGGTAGTGTCATTCGTACAGGATGCAAAGAGGTTTTGTAAAGCCCTCAACCTAAACATGAAAAAAAACCTACTAACAAAAGACCAATAGTTCTAACTGGAAATAAAGAGCTGAGGACAGAACCAAAGAAAATTCTCATGCATTAGATCTGCTTAGGAGTGGAAAAGAAGATGGGAGGAGGTATGTGAAACACATAAAACATTGTTTTTCCTATAAGTACTGCGAAATGAGAAAATTCTTTCATGTCACATTTATTACTAATACATTACAGCTATCTAAGCTACCATGTTTTGACTTTCAAGGGTTGAAGAAAAACAATGTTTGAAATGTTATAGTATAATGGGTGCCTCATTCAACATAAACAAAACATGCTACATTCAGCTTGAAGACAGGACAGTCACAATACAAGCGAATTGCAAACAGCAGCAGAGAAAAAGACCTCATCACTTAAACTTACAACTAACATGCAGACTGCTCAGGCATGTTCCTTTGCTCTTCCTTCTTAGTGCACAGAACCAGGGCTATCACCTTGGTTTGCCACTAGAAGAAACTTTACTCTCTGTTGATGTAGTTCGGTATTCCAGCTCTTCAAGTATTCCCAAGCCCACACAATGTGTAGCTGTGTAGCAAATGCTCACTCCCTCCAAAACACCAACTCCTCTTCTTGGTATCTGCTTTCTCACTGCTCTAGTTTCAGTAATTTACGGCATGGGTAAAACCAAAGACACGATCAGATCAAGTGCTCAACAATGGGGGAAGCAGCAGCGAGTAGTGGAGAGCTGGTTACAGCAGAAGACAATTCAGAGGGCCTTTTCTTCCAAATAGTATTTGTAGCAGCACTACTGCAGGCAGAACAGAGCTGACATTATCTCTCCCAAAGTACTGGGAAGTTGCCATCACAGGAAAGAGAAGAAGTCACATCTAGGTGATCTGCTTCTCACTGGTGACAAGTGAAAAAACTAGATACACACAAAACATCCAGGGGATTCCTCATACCCCACTCACTAGTGTGTCTTTTTCGCACTTCTCCAAAACTAGATCTACTCTGAGGCACTTCTTTTAATCTGATTTGGGGTGGGGCAGGCACAGCTAGAGGGTCATATTTGGGTTTTTTTTTTTTCATCAGCTAATCTTCCTCTCCTTTTCTTTTAGTACAAGTAATAATAAATATGCCCAATGGGATTAAAATGTGAAAACAGTAAACCATTGGGTCTAAACATTTTTAAAAACAAAACAATGCTGATCAAGACTTTTTCATGCAAAATGAAACATCCAGTGTTCTCAAATCTTGATTTCATTTTATATTGCAAAATCTCTATAGAATCACTGCTCAGTTATAAGCTAGAACTTTGAAAATTCCCATTCCCTAACAAACATAATGAAATTGTGTTTTGAGCTATTGAACATGATATATTTCAGTATCATTAAGTTCTCTGTTTGAACAAGAAATAAGGCTTCTGCTTAGCACAAACTGTAGTTTAGCATACGTAACTCATTGTCCTCGGTTCTTAGTTGTAACTGTCATCTTGAATCCCTGGTTTATACAGGTGATTCACAACTACTCACTGAGTCTTCTTCAAAGCCCATATACTCCCTTCAACAGAAAAAAAATTTAGCAAAAAAAAAAAACAAAACTTACTGGAAGTTTTAAACTTAAATCTGTCACCAATTCAGTGCAATGAGAAATACCAATAGCTACGCATTTAATTCTCCTTTCAGGCATATTTTTGCCACCCATTTTCTGGGGTTTTTTTTGTTTGCTTTGTTTTTTAAATTGGACTTTCTAGTCTGCTTTTGATCTGAGTTTATGATTTCTCCTTTGGTCTTGCTCTTTCTTCATTATTTTCACTTCATGCTGCTCTTGTGTCAAGCAAAAATAAAAATAAAAAAAAGACAAAAAAACCTCAACCAACAAACCAACCAAAAATACCCACAGAAAAATCCTGTCCTCAATCTTTACTCTCCAATTACTACCTGTGTCCTTGCTCCATGGGAAAAAATGTAACTGTCCTTACATATATATCCTCTAGACCTTTACAGCCCCTTAACAATTATTCATAAATTCAGTAGCATTTCCAGTTCTTCCATTTTCAGATACTAAGACCCCATTGAAATCATTCTTATATTTGAATACCAGAAATGAAATACAGCATCATAAAAAAGGGCATGGAGTTTATAATACCCCTTTTGTTATACAGGGAAAACACCTACATGTAGCTTTCGCTCATTTGTATGTAAAAATAGGAGTCATAGCAATGACTGTACCCATAGCTACAGGAAAAGAACTTCCTCCTTAATCCAAGCATAGATATTTATAGTTTTTTTGGGTGAATCCACTGACATATGATATGGGTAGCTATTATTGATTAAGCACAAAGTACTTGGATACAATAAAATATGTTGTTCCTGCCTAAAACTAAAGCTAATCAGCATGCATGATCAAATTCACTCTTTAATACGAGCTCAGTTTAGTTTAATTTCACCAAGTTACATTGACACAAGTACGAGTGTACATTTATTAACATTTCAATATTCAACTCCACAAGACATTTATGTTAGTAAATCCGTTTGCAGTATCTACACAGATATTGGTGGTATAAACAGTTTTTATAGATCTATAAATTTCAGAATGTTTATGGGTAAAAATACAGAGCAGGACTCCAGGTTCACATGGTGAATTACCCAAGAATAATGAAATCCTTAATGGATATATTGTATATTTTCTAAAAAGAACTGAAGTCAGTTGACTTAAGTCAAACTGCTTGATTCACCTTTTTATCATTGTTAGTTTGTCAACATCAGTAAAGATTAACTACTGAAAAATTCAATCATTTCAATGTACTTACAGCTGAATTTTCTCATCATGTGACCAATTATCCACAAAGCCTCAGTGCCATTAAGAAGTTTTGAGGAATATAGTATTTGGTACTGCCAAAAAAAAAAATAATTAAAAGAATGCATGTAAACAACATTCATCTTCTGAATAGAAACGTTTTATGATTATTTCATATCTAAAGTACATTTGGGGGAAAAGCAGGACTTACATTATCCCAAAAGGCAGGTTCCAGCACTATCAATGATACACTGACAGAATTCACAGTAAGGAGTCACAGTAGAGTCCTGATCTTGCAACTGAACTTTCACAAAAAGAACCCTGCACTATTGCAGAATCTCCTGAATTTCAATAAAGCCCTACCCACACATAATCAATTACAGAGTCCGCCTATGTGGGAGCAACAACAGGGAGAACAGGACCTGCTCCTCCACACACCTGCAAAAATATCAGGATAAAAAGAAAAAAGAAATTAGTAACATGCAGCAAAGCCTACTGATAGCTTGTTTTATTACAGCATTTAGCACATAATAAAGAAGCTTCATACACCCTTTAGTTGCATATTACAGGAATTTCTAACTCCTTCTTTAAAGAATGTCGGCTTAAAATTGCTTACGGTTTCACATGTAGTGACAGCACATTATGGGAGCATCTACTGATATGTATCTGAAATATACATTTTTAATCATTTTCTATAAATTTATTATCCTAGTTTTTTTGGTCTCTGATGCATATCACTTTTTAGTGCTTAAGCCTTCTTAAAATCTGTCCCACAACACACATTTTGGGAACGCAGCATAGGCCTGCGAATTTGAGATATTCATGACTGTGAAAGTATCTGACCACACATAGCAGCATCCAAGAAAAGGTCGTCAAAAATACATGATAAGAAGTAGCTTAGTATTAATCATTTTTAGACTAAAAAAGATCATCTTTTTTTAAACAGAAAATCCTTATGTAAATCAACCATAATTAATGATTTGCTAAATTTGAGCTCTTAGAAAGCACCATTTAAAACACAGGAAGCACACAACGTGATGTTAACAAGAATATACCATCACTTTGCTGTTAGTGCACAACTGAATCATAATCTGACCTTATTGTTCTTATTGAAAATACATATATGTTGATCTTTAAAAGGAAAATATTATAAGCTACAATGTTTTTACATATTATAAGCCATTTAAAAACAGGTTAGCCATAGGTTCCGTGAAATAATATTTAACTGGTGACATTATGCAAGAGTACTGGTGATAAAGGTTAGAAGAACAACCACTAGATCCTAGAAACATACAGAAAACATTTCTTCATTCATTTAATACAGATAGCATTAGGGAAACATAAAAATGCTGGACTAAATGAAAGGATTTGAGAATGTAACAGAAGAACCAAAAGTTCCATATAAATGGAATGCAGTCTTTTGTTTTTTTTTTCTTTTTTCTTTAATGAACAGTTGTTCTCTTGCTGGCTTTGATTTCATAAAAACACAGACAAGTAAATAAGCAGAAAACAGAGAAGAGTATCACAGTTTTTCGTTCCTTGCTGCCAGGTTGATGGCTTTCAACTGGGCAGGAGGATAAACAGAAAAATCTAAAATAGACATTTCAGGCTTTATGTCAAAATTCAAGGCAGTTGTCTTACAATACTGAATTGGAAGTGTTTCTTCTCATGTTACTGCTTCTAAATTTTATGTTTCATATGCATGACTCTTAGGCTTCTGTTATTCTGAGAAATTCAACTGTTTCTAAAGAACAGTGCTACATTCTATTTATAAAGCATTATACCTTGGCCCCTCTCTAACATTACATGAAAAATGTAAAAGTATCAGACATCTGCCAAGTTAGTGCTGCCCACCTAAGCCTGCAAAGTGAACAAACCAGCGCCTCTGGCAAGTGTGATCTGCCCACTTCTCACTGGATGAAAAGAATAGGCAGACCATACCCTTCAGGACAATCCTGGTGCTCATAGTCATGCAGCTACAGATTTAGCATTTCCCAAGTTGCAATGCAACGTGGTAACTTGATGCAGCCAGATCCTAATATTGTTTTCTGTCCCTGTGCCTATCTCCACATCTTTCTTCACAAAGGAAGTTAACTGGAATACAATGCATGTTTCCTGCACTGCTACAAAAGTGTAGGTTGTAGGATGGGTCAGGGACACATAGCTGCACTCTACATAACAGTTTCTGGTGAAAGCTGAAAACAGTTTTACAATTTTGACAGCCTAAGGAATAGCTCAGAGCTCATATCCAAACAGTTAAAGAAATTAAATACTGAAGCTGTCTCAACAGTTCCCTTCTCTGACATGGATAGGAAAAACATGCATCTAATCCAGGTATAGAAACTACCATAACTGAATGATTCACAAGCAGTTTGGGAGACTAGAAGGCCCTGGCAAAAACAAGTTGAGTTGCTGGCTGTGGTTTTTTTTCGTGACTAGCAGAAGTAACAAAGTCTAGTTACCTATCAGGGTGCTTGTATGTGCCACCAACACACCTATGCAGTAATCACAGGCTGACACTACCCTGGCTGGTTTCCCATCCACTTCTGAACAGATTTCCCTAAATTCCTGCAGGAAACACCAGCTTCTGAGTTCTGGAGAACAAGAGACAGCTCACACTGTGGCTAGGTCTGAGCTTCACATGTGTTGACTGGCAGATCAACCAACCATGCTGACTGGCAAGTCAACAGGTTGAACAGAACAGAAAATTTCTGACTCCATGCTGCAGCTTTTTTCTACCCCAGAGGCACTAATTTGAGTCCTTTCTCTGCTCACAGCTGCTAAGTTTCACACAAATTATAGAAACTTGACTTTGTGACCTCTATCTCTATATCAAATGCAGCTGAAATGAAGCGGTGGAGTCAAAAGTTATTAGGAGACAACACAATCCTATATATCTTGTTTTGTTCAGAAACTGGGCACGAAAACACTGTAGCATAATCACTGTGAAAATAACTAATGAATTTTATGTCACTTATTGTTTTCATTCAGGAGTTACACCACAAACTCATCTCTAACAGAACACAGATTTTTACATGGTGACAGCACACACGAATCCAGAGAATATAAAGACTGTTTAAAAAAAACCCTGGCTTTGTTTTGCCACTGAGAACAGGGCCCCAAACATATGCTGTTTCATAAAGGTGAAAATTTAACAGAAATAAAATTTTATATATATTTTTTGCACTTACCAAGACCGTAGTTGACTGCCCTTCACTGAGATCCCTGCTTCTCTTGCAATTCCATGCTGTCTCTCATATGGCTTAAGGGAAGTTCAGTGATACATAGTTCAGTAAAAGAACAGTGACACGAAATGTAATGAGTCTATTCAGTATACATGGACTTTTCTTTTGTGATATCTTTGATTGGTGCTTTCTGGGGGGGGGGGGTGGTTTTGAGGGCTTTTTGATTTTGTTATGGCTTTTGTTTGTTTGGTTTTCTTTTTTTAATAAGCACAGTGATTTTTAAAGAATCACCTTAAAATCTTGATCCTGCTACCTGGACCCAGATTCTGATGTCCTAATTTAAGGAATCATTTTTAATAATACGCAAGTCTCAGTTAATTTTTTCTTTTTCAACAAATGAAATCTACAGCACTCTGCATACCCTTTCTGTTGACCTAGCCCTGAATTTTGACTTGTGTGTTTCTCAACAGAAAGGTATAGCTGAAATCAGAGGGGTTTATTTGTTGCTGGATTCTAGGAACTGATGAAAGAAGGAAATAAAATGAAAAAAATACAGTTACCTCTCCAAAACTCCAGTTAGAAGAAGAGAGACAAAGAATAATCAGTATGAAAAAGTTAACACAAAGCTGGTCATCAGATGAAGGGTTAGCAGGAAACAATGGGTATAAGAAGAGTCAGGGAAGTGAACATGACTTAATCAAAAAGAGGATGGACTCAAAGAAACAAAGTTATCTTTTTAGCATAACAATGAGAATGGGCTTTTCAAAACTGTTTGACGTTGGCCTCTTATTCTACTGAAGTAAAAGACTCACATCAACTCCAAAAATGCTTTAGGAAAACCTTTAAGCCACTTAACTTGAACCATTTGACTATAAGCACATGGAGTATCTAAACTCTGCTGAGCTAAACAATTAAAGAAGTGCTTAAATTTGAAAATAAATTTAAATCATCTTGTAATCATTCACTAGCTCTGTAGTATTGAACACACACTCAGATCTCAGCCCCAACTCCTTATCCTGCTAACATGCAGGCTCTCACTTTGGCACTAGTCTGGATCCAGCCTACTGGTTATCAGACAGGCAAAGCCAAGTACAAGACACAAGGGACTAATGTGGATTCAAACTTTCCTCACAAAAGCCATAGTCATGCAAGTATTGTGACTTAAGTACAAGACTGTTTGATGAAGCAGAATGTAAATCGTTAAGTGCTTGAAGTTAATTTAAGAATCAGGTCTCAAAAAGAAAATTAAAGAAAAAGCATCTGTGAAAAGAAAAAAGAAACAGATTGTTGAATGTGTATTAAAAATAAATGACCTCTGGGTTATATCTCAATGCACTCTGCCTGAAAACTGGGTTTCTGGCTTAAGTATTGAATCTTATTTTTAATACATGAAATGCTAAATAGCCTTGGCAAAGGTTAAATTAGTTCAGTGGTTGATAATGGTACTGAAGTAAGTCTTAACACAGGGTGTAGCTCAGTTATGGGTATAAAGGGCTCACCATCTGTCCTGCCTATTTAAACAGAACTGCACTTCCAAACCCAGTTTGGTCAATAGCTGGTAGAGAGTTAATATCCCCTATTCCAATCTCTATGGTAACAACCATAGAGATAGAAGAAAATGTGGAAATCATAAACCACTAGTAGGGTTCTGTCCCTTTTACTCCTTACTCTACAATACAGTTACTGAAGGAAAACAGAAATTGAGCCACTTTTTGAGATACCAAAAATGGTCTGGGGCATCTCTCAGCATTCTGCTATCATTGTGATTTATCTCCCAAACTATAGATCATTCTGTGCACCATTATTTTAAGCTGTCACTTACCTAAATGAGTAAGAAGCCAATACCATCGCTCAACAACTATATTCTTACACACACAACCCTCTGCTACCAATATTCTGTCCTTTATCTATAGCTGTAAAAATAGGAAACTCCCTGGTTTTAAGATATATGCTTAACAAAACCGTCCATACAAGAATTGTTACCAAATAAACAGCGCTACAGTAAGATTAAAGATCTGATTAAGGCAGTGAGTTAGAAGGAGAATTGGTTCATCTATAGATTCAGTCACCTTTTCATAAAATGGTTAAATAAAATTATTATCCATTCTCAGGATAATTATGAGCAGTATTAAAACTTTATAAATGTTTTGAAGCTTGGATTTCAAAATTTCCCAGAAATTGGGAAACTAGAGAAGCAAATGAACAACTTCCATCAAGTTCTCTTGAAAGAAATAAAACGAACAGCATAAAGACAAACAAATTAGTACAAGCCAAAGCATTTCCAGATCCTTCACTTCTGCATTCATTCCAGCAGTATTTCATTTAAATGCAGGCAGAGTTTAAGCTTCAATCTTTAAACAGTTCCACATATCTGAACTTCACTCCTCTAAGTGACGCAACTGATAAAACTATGCATGTGGACAAATTTAAGCACATGCACAAGACTAAGGTTAAAGCAAGTAATAAAGAAATTAGCTAATGAATTCAACGTACCACTAACAATTTTTTTTTTTTAAAGCCAAGAACTGCTAAGATAGCAAAGCTTGAGAAACTAAGAGCTGAAATTCTGCAGGGAGGGCATTAGGTTATGGTCCCAGCAATTACCCTACAAAAATCTATCTTCAGTTCCAGAAAGAAAAAGATACAGAGTATCCCCTCAGTAACTTCATGGTTACAACCACCACATGATTTTCTCACCATTTGATGAGTCCTCTTCAGTTCAAGGCTGAAGTTCATGGGTGCTGTGGAGATCACTTGGCAACTGCTCTGCTGTAATTAAACCATGAATAAACAACGGGCTTCAGTTTTTACAGATAACAAACCAGCACTTTTCACAACTATTAAATCTACAAAAGTATTAAAACATTCAGAAATTACAGTTAGGCCATTTTAGCAAAACTTTACCATGAAGCCTGAGTTCAATAACAAATCTTCCTGAAATTCTCAGGGATGTGTTCATTATTATGAGTCAGGCCTATAGTTATGTTAGAGACAACACTGTAAGATCAGAATGAAATACAGTAAACCCAACCTTTCGACACTGTTAGGTTTTCTGCTATGTTAAGCATTTTAGAAGGGTTTCTTTTTTTGGCTTTTTTTTTTTTTTTTAATCTGGAAGTTTATAGGAAAATCTAATTAAGCAGATGCGAGTCCTAAGACAGCACATCCTTCTTGGAGCCCTAACTGCCTGGAGAAGCATCTTCACTGGCAAGTTCAGAACTCTGTTTTCACTGTAAAATACTAAACGCTGTCCACTTCAGTCCTTTCTAGATTACAACCTCTGGCTATAGAAGGAATTAGAAAACTCATACATGAAAGAGGATGCTCAACCAGGTTATTAAACTGAAATTTTAAACTTCAACTGATATCAAATTTACACAATAGGTCTGAGGAGAGGCTTAGATGAATCCGGAAGAGGAATCTAGAAGGCTGGAGAAGTATCAGGGGCAAGGCAGAGCTCAAATTAGAAAAAAATAAATAGATAAAAAAATATGGAATTTCTACTGCCTGTACGTTCATAAGCCATACAAACACAGAATACTAAAATGATACATAGATGTGCAATTATTGAAAAGATTATTATAAATACTACATGGGTGTATATCTTGGTGCCCTCTGTCTGGTCTAACTTACCTAGGAACTGGACCAGTTGAAGGTAATGGAGTAACACACAAGTACTCAGGCAAGTCAAAGAACCTAACTAAAAAGTTACATGGTAATGACACAATGCCAGTTTTCATTTCAACAAATTCCTCTAATCCTTACAGCTGTAAAACAAATCTTAGAAATACATAGCAAGGTAATTTGTAAAGTAATGTGTACCTGAGTCAGAAGACAGCCCCCAGCTTTCTAACCATTCCTGACTAGCTATGAGCTTCTGTGCCATTTTGGCACGTAAGTACCTTGCTTTGGGTTTGCCAGCTCTCAGCTGGACCTCAACTTTGGCCAACCCAGTATATCCAAACACAAAGTCTGCTGCATATAGGAAATTCCAAATACAGGAAGCTGGGGGGATGCCATCTTACCAACATGGGTTATTCTAAGTCCCTCTCTTCCACTCCATACTGCTTTTATCTAGAATTTTAAATTATAAATTCAGAGTCTCAAGATCCTCCAGGACCTAAATCCAAGATTCCCACAGAAATGTCTACTTGGTCTCTAGACTGGATCCAGTTGTCAACAGTTTCCCTCTTCTGACATAAGAGAACTTGTGCAACAAAGGAGAAAAAGCTGTCATTTCCAGAGACAGAACTTTCTCAGGGCTGGTACAAATCTATGAAGCAAATGTGCCTAGGAGCCAAGGGCCATCAGAAACCTAACTGCATTTTGCTTGAAGAACAAAACACATTACATTGACCTTGCCTCACTACCATAAATACACAACACGTATATGGAAGGAAAGACAGATAAAATAAACTGAAAACATTCAGCTGCACATGCTCTTTCCCCTGGTAACAAGAGAACAGCTAATATGACAAATGCTGGTCATGTCACTTATTACGGTATGAGGCGGTTCTCTGACAATATAATGACACTCTCTGGGGAGGAGAATCTGTAACAGAAGACAGGCACTCCTAGAAGGTGTTCAGGTAGTGCTGTAATGAGAACTGTATGAGGAAAGGAGTCCATTATAGGAACTCAGCTTAACATCGTATTTGCTATGACAGCAGATAAGACTTTTACCATTCTGATGAGCCCAAGTTGCCTGGAATGGAAATTCAATCTAAAGAATTGACATCACTTTAGGTGAGGCCCAAAACCCCTTTCCCTCCCTTCTGTCCTCAGCTATGTTCCTGCTCTGACTTTCTGGCTTCACTAGTCATTGAGGAAACAAACTAATGATTCCTCTCCAAGATGCTATAACGAGAGAATGCAATACCCACCTCATATTACATGGACTTTTAGACTATAGCAATTGCCTTTCTCACTTGTTCTGATACTCAGTTAAATATTTACCCATTCTGATCCTTAAATTATTAAGAAATATGAATGGAAGATGTAAATCAAGAGTACTACATCAGGTTGATGTTTCACACAGTCCTAAGTAATATTGAGAATAATGATTGTGTAGTATCATTATTAGTTTCTTAAGTCTGAAATGCAAGACCATAGTAATGCAGAAAACTACTCAAACTACTCAGTGTGCTTACACACAATAATATACATTTTGGTCTGTACAGGATGGAGGCCTACGTGCATTAATTATGGAATCTGAGAGCAGGTATTCCCTACTAGGGAATGTAAAATTTCACTTTCTGTAAAAATCTCAATGAAACCTTAGGAATTACATCTGAAAGGACAATAGTGTGATTCATGTATGTCCTGCTAAACAGAACTACGTATCTTCTATATCTTATTCTTACATCACTGTTGGAAAAATGGGTGAAAAATAGTAACTGGAATTATTTTAGGGAAAAACTATACATAACCTAAGTACAGAGAAGTGGTATCAGCAACATCATAATTTAGTATTTTTCTTGACCTTTTTTCATTGCTATTTCTATTGCAAAAAATCCTCTTTTCACAGCCACATAACCTTCAGAAAAAAAAAATTAAAAAATCAGAAAACATTTACTATCATTCCTCTCAATTGGAAGGCACATTTTTTGAAAATTTCACTCACAGTAATTTTAATAAAATCAGAGAAAAACATAAATACACTGTAAATCATTTATATTTCCTGCTTTTTAATAGAAAGGTTTTACGAACTGAAGTGTTGGTTTTTTTTCATTTGGCTGATTTTCACTAAGGAACTTGGTTAAAAAAAAAAAAAAAAAAAAGAGGAATCAGTTTCTTTAGCAATACCAAACTTTGAACCTGAGGAAAAAATAGTAACATAAATGCATAGTACTAGGTATTTGATTACTTACAAGTCGCCTTGCACTACTTTTTCTGTAAGGAGCTCCAGAATTACGTATTTTCTGAGTAGCTGTAGTGTTCGTGGCCATGATGGTCTCAGCCCCAAAGCCTGCTGTTTTCAACTGTTTCAGTTAAAAAAAAAAAAAGAAAGAAAAAAAACCTAAAGCAATAATCTCTCCCTTTAAAACTTGTTCTTACATTTTTGTCAGTCATCTACAGAAGAGAACAGTGGAATCAGGAGAAGCATTAGGCCCTGAGCCTGCTAACGTTCGTCTGCATGTTCGTCCAACTGAGTTTAAGAGGACTAGCTCTCAGACGTTAAGGGAGGATTTTGAAAGTCAGTGGGAACAGAGCTCCGAAACTCTCATTATGTACTTTTGAAAATCTTCCCCAAAGTCATGGGAACAGCAGCCTGCAGGTCTGAGGCCTCTGCCTTCTGCTGCTTTCCTTTTCCCTTTCTAAAAGCCTATCAGATTAAAAAACATGAGACCCGCTGAAACCAACCCCGCTGGGGAGCCGCTCGCAGTGATGCGCTGGGTCTTTGCCGAGGCAGGGGTCCGCACAGCTCGCGGAGAGCTCACAGGAACGACTCCTCCAGCAGCCCAAAGTCAAGTGCAAGCAGTGGCTCGGGCGGCACTGCAGCCTGCCTTCCCCCGCGGCTTCCAGCGCCTCGCAACCTCCATGTCGGCTCCCCCATCTGTGAAACGGGGATAGGAGAACGAACCCAACCCTCAGGTACCTTATCACCAGGCACGACTTGGGGCGGACGGGCTGAGGGGCGGTGTGAAAATGAAAGTTCACGTTTCCCCCCGAAGCACTGCGAGCGGCACTGCGAGCCCTCTCACAGTTGAACCTCGGCTCCGCCAAGTTCCTCTGAGAGATATTTATTTTCAAATGACCAGCATACGGCACTCCGGGCCCTATCTGACCCGAGATGCGCCCGCACAGCACCGCTCCGCTCCGCCGGAGCCTGTTCCCAAGCCCGGGCGGGACGGGGAGGGAGCCGGGCGTTAGGGCTGGGGTTGGCGGGGTCGGCCGGTTGTCGGGGCCGCTGCTGCGGAGCCGGTGCTTTGGAGCGCGTGAGGCGGGCGGGGGAGGGGGAGCGGCGGCTGCTTCCAGGGCGGGATCGGGCCCGCGCGCTGCCTCCGCGCGGTGCGGGCAGCGCTGAGAGTTGCGAACGCTCCGGCTCCGGCGGGGTGCGCGGATGGAGGGGGGAGCGTGCTGGAACCTGAGCGCTGCGGGAGCCGCGGGGGTCCTCGGCGGCGCGGGGGGGTGCGGGGAGAGGGGAGGGAGGCGCTCTTCATATTTTCCTCAGGTCCTGTGGCGCACATCCCCCTCCCCCCGCCGGCTTCCTCTCCCCACCTTCCCAAAACGGGCTGCCCCCCCGCTCCCCCTCCCAGCGCCTTTACCTTGACAAGTCCGCGGGGCCGGCGGAGGTCTCGCTGCCCCTCTCTCCTCTCTCTCTCCCTCACACATCCCTATCGCGCCACCTCTCCCCCCGGAGCCGGGACTCCGGGTGACATTTCCCTCTCCTCCTCCCTCCTCCTCCTCCTCCTTCCCCCCCCCCCCCCCCCATTAGTGGCGGTTGGGTTGGTAGCGCGGGAGCGCGCGCTAGCGGGGAGGGCGTGGAGCGCGCGCTGCCTGCGAGCGGAGGGGAAGGAGACGGGGGGGGGGCTAAAGGGGGGAGGGGGAGGGGCGGCATTGACAGCAAGCGCCGTGTCCGTAGCTCTGCCTCAGCCCGAATAGCTCTCCCCCCGCGCGCCCCCCTCCCTTCCCGGCATGCCCCAGGGCAGCGGGGCTGGCGCTAACGAATTTGAATGAAGAGCCCTGCTCTTTCGGCGCCATTTTCGAGTGATGCCCGATCGCATCGCTGCCGCGGGGGAGACGCGGATCGCGGGGTCGACCGCTGCTGCTGCCGAAAGTCACCTCCTTCACCCGCTGTTCCCCCTCCTTTTCTTCCCCTTGCCGCCGCGGCCACCACCGTGCGTTGGAGTGGGTGCCGCCACCGGCATAGGCGGTAAGAGCCGAAGGGACCGGGCGCGGCTGGGGCAGAGGGAACTGGGCGGGCAGGCTGGGGAAGACAGTGTTCAGTAAACGGGGGTAACCTGCACCCCGCCGCTGCTGAGAAAAGTCGCTTGAGGAGCCCGGTGGGCAGAGAGCGGAAGGCTCCCGGAGGTGGCGGCAGGTTTCGCCGGTGGCTTCTGGGCGGATCTGTCACTCGCTTCCCTCAGCCTCAGAGGGTGGGAGCGGGCGGGAGCAGCTGCCTCCTCTGGCAGGTAACCCTGCCGCCCGGGGCGGTGGCGGGCAGCATCTCTCTCCGGCGGGGATCACGGGAGCGCCGCTCACCCCCCGGCGGCCCTGCCCGGGCAGAGCGGTGCGGAGGCGGGAGGGGGGAGCCTGGAGCGGGAGGGAGGCGCGGGACAGCCGGAGCGGAGGGTCGCGCCGTGGACCCGGTGTGCGCCCCGCTCCTTCGTGACATGACATGACAGGCTTCCCTCTGGTCCCCCCCTTTCCTTGCCACCCCCACCTCCCGCGGATCCCTCCCTCCCGCCTTCTCCCCCGCCTCTCCGCCGTAGAAATTTCGGGGCAGCGCTCGGGACACGGCGGCTCCTGCTTCCCGGCTCTGCAGCAGCAATCAGGATGACTTCCCCACTTACATGCACATCTCCCTTTCTCGCACGCCTCCTCCTCCCCCCGCCCCCCCCCCCTCCGCCTCCTCTTTTCTCTTTCCCCGTGTTTTCGTAATCCGGATTAATGCCCCTTCTCTCTTTCCCTTCGGTCCCCCCCTTCCCCCAAAAGAAGAGGACAACCTTTGCTTTTTTCCTCCGTTTGTTTCCTTTCCATGTTAGCAGATTAACTTCTCCGTTTAAGCGCTTTCTCCACCTCCCACTCAAGCGTTTAATTTCCCGTGTCACGATATCGGAGCCGCCTTTAGCAGAAACCTGGGTGACGGTTATGCTGCCACATGCTATCACATTTATCATCTCTGTCCCTTTGGGTATTAACGAAGGACCAAAGTGCTGTTCATCGAGGATTGCATAGGGCTATTTTTCCCCACTCTTAGCGTTAAAACGCCAGTTTCCTTCCTGAGCTAGAGGGGGGGAAACATAATCCGAGGCCATTTGAATCGTGCCAGTTATTTGTAGGTGTTTTTCCTCTCCTCCTACACACCCCAAAAACGAGTAAATACCCTCCCCATAGATAGCCCAGCCTAATACTGTGATCAGAGCTGGCCATTCACCTCCTCTTCTCCGCCTACAAAATTCTCTGTCTCTGTCACCCGGGTCGCTATTTGTCATTGGCTTAGCTATTTTTTGGTGGCTGTTTCTATGTCATTTCTCGGTGGCCAGGAGCTCTCGGATTTTCGTTGCTGGATAAGCGCGATCGTGCTTATTGTGATAGGCGCCGAATCCACTCCCTCTTTCCCTCTCGCAGTCGATCTGGGGAGCTATTCCTTCGCCGCACACACATAATATGTGACACGGTGCCTTTTCCTTCACGATGCCGTTTAACCCTCTCGGGGCCGGGGTTGGCGTGGGCACTCGCGTTTCGGAGTTGCATACACATACACGCAGAGAGACACATACAAGACATGTTTTTGTTGCTGCAGCTCCTCGGTGGGAGCGCGGGCACGGATAACGCCGTGCAGCGGGGTAGGGAGCTCCGCAGCAGCTCGGGCGCTGGCAGGCCAACGGGCTCCTTCCCAGCTACAATTTCTAGCGTTACTTTTTATTCCTCTTCCTACTTCTCTCTTCGCTTTCGGCCGCCGTACCGTTTTGGGGGGGGGGGGGGGGGTTGCGTGGTTGGTTGGTTTGGGGTTTTTTTTTATTTTTATTTATTTTATTTTATCCGGAGGCAGGAAGGCGTATGGATATATTCCCCGATGCCGTGCGATCGGCGGGCGCTCTAGGCTGCCGTCGAGCTGGTGGGCGCGCAGGATGCGCAGCGAACGCAGCATCGGGCCCCTTTGAAGGCGCTCGTTGAGCGGATCCCGGACCGGCTGCTGCCCCCCCTGGTTGCCTGCGGGGTCGCGGGGCTGGGAGGTTGGACGGGGTCACAGCCTTTCCCCTCTCCTCTCCCCGTGCCTCCTTCACCACCACCACTTCCCCCCCCCCCGCCCCCATGCACATCCCTCCGCGGTGTTCAAAGCCAAAACCGGCCGCCTCAGGCTTAGCACCGTCCCCACCGAAAATAACGAGTTAACCGAAGAACGTAGGAGGGACGTAGAGAAGACTTGGGGTGCAGAAGTGCTGTACAAAAGATTTCTGTGTACATGGCTGAGAGCGTGTAGTCTTAAAGTGAAATGCAAAACTTAACGTTTCCAGCATGGCAACTGGACTGTGATTCAAGGTATTTTCTGTGTAATGCAGAAATACACTAATGCAAAGAGGTTTTTCTGCCTCAGATCCTTAGTTTCCTTGGATTCTTTTAATCCAGTGCACAAATTACATTTTTTCAGCCTTTTTTTTTTCCCTGGGAATAGCTGCTTCGTTTGTCTCTGCAATTTATACCTTTATGCCCTGAAAGCTAGAAAATTCAGTTTAATCTTGAAATAGTGATAGTAGTGAGCTCCTATTGAAATTTAGCACTTATTTCTTTAGATTTGCATCGGTACTTTCCAAGTGGTTTCAGAAACATTTTTAACAGTTAGTATGGGAATGTGCACAGAGCTGTTTCATTGTAGCTGTGTGTACTTCGAAATATCAGGATTTGAAGAGATTTACACTATTCAGCGTGGAAGTGCACTCACAGGCACTGACTTTCACTTTCAAAGAAATAACTGTCCTGACTCAGCTAATTTATGGAAAAACATATATAATTCAGTGTTGTACAGGTGCGTGTACATTTTTCCCTACTATCTGACAGTTGTGTTCAATAGCATGAATTTTATACCTTTTTTATTTTAATTAAAATCTGTGCTTAGCACATATTTGACTACATAAACCAACTGTTCTTGTCAGCTTTTTTATTTCTCAGCTGCACCATTCCCATATTTTACAATTACATAAAGGTGGGTGTGGCTAAAATGAAAGCAGTAAGCAATCTAATATCAATATGTGTGTCTGTTAAGTAGGTTTTCCTTTCTTATATTTGATGTATGCCTTATTTTGAGATATTTTTGGGGAAAAGAGTCATGTAGCTTAAATAGACCCTCGTAGAACTGCTTGCATTTTTCACCTTAGTTAACATGTCAAACATTAACTGGATTACTTGGCCCTAGAAAAGTTACATTCAGAGGAAATACCAAATGAACTTAAAGATCTAAACATATATATTTATATTTATAAGCAGAAGTTCGAGTTTTATGCTTAATAGAATATTGCTTAGGTATACTGTGTAGCATACATAGTGTGTGTATTTTGTTTTTCCCCCGCCTAATCCTTTATCTTGATTTTTAGGAAAACTATCCAAATAGGCTTCGGGGGGGGGGGGGGGGGAGGAGGAGAGTTTTGTTTGTTTCTTTATTTATTTTTCCTTTCTTTTTTTAGCCCATAAATTGTATCGAAAGTTTCTAAGAGATACCCTTTAATTTTCCAGAAGCTTGAAGTAACTGAGATTTTTTTTTTTTAATTTATTTTCAGAAATAACAGTAATTTGAAAGTGTGACTGTGCAGCTATGCGACTTTTACATGTGTTAGGGTGGTTTTACATAGCAAGCTTATTGTAGTAACGTTTTAAAGGTAGACTGTATATACAATAACAAGATGTCATGGGGGGGGTTCTGTTTGGTTGGTTGGTTGATTTTCTTTTTTTTTCTTTTTTTTTTTTTTAATTTTTTTTTTTCTTAGCTCCTGGAATTCTGAACTTCTTACTGTTCCATCCAAAGTCTAATGTCATGGGAGGAATTTTGCTGCTAAATGGTAGTCTTTATTTCCTTAATTATCCTGATGACTAATAAGTCAGATTCTGTAGTGAAGTACAAGTGGAACGGCATACACACTACCTGCCTGTGTACACCCTGCCTGTGAACTCTAGGAAAGGTGCACATCTAATCCATCTTGAATGTCAAAAGCTATCCTAACAGGTGTATCAAAGCTTTTCTGTAATGCTTCTACATATGTACAAGCACATGACCTTTCTTCACATAAAAAGTAGCCACATAACAGTTATCATTTCTTTTATAGGACATTGCAGGGTTTTGGTATTTGTATTGGGAAGCAATTAACTACTGAATATGTAAGGAAGGACTGAGAGGCTTGTCACTATATCCTACAAATATGCTGCAGGCATTCATTCTGTTTTGTAAATGCAGTCACCCACCCACACCCAAAGGCCCATTGCAAGTCATTTCAGTAATTTACATTCATTACTAACTGTCGAAGGTAGTGAGCATCTTGGGCTAGTTCTGACTGTCTGTGGAAGAAATAGGGAATGAAACTGTAGACTTCTGTATATAAACAGAAAAATATCTTTATGATGAAGTTTTTAAAACTAAAAATAACATTATGTAACCCAACAAGTGTTCTCCACAGATAATTTTATATCTATATATATTATTGCAAGTTCTAAACATCTTAACACTGGAACCCAATTTCA